TGAGTCAACTTGGAAGAGCAACATCCTTCTCTAAATTTTACCCCTGCATGGCTCACAAAAGGGTGAGTCAAGTTGAAATGGCAACATCCTTCTCTAAATTTTACCCTCGGGTCGCTCACCAAACGGTGAGTCAACTTGGAATGACCACTTCCTTCTCTAAATTTGGCCCCTGCCCACAAAAGGGTGAGTCAAGTTGAAATGGCAACATCCTTCTCTAAGTTTTACCCTCGGGTGAGTCAAATTGGAATGACCACTTCCTTCTCTAAATTTTACCCCTGCCTTGCCCACAAAAGGGTGAGTCAAGTTGAAATGGCAACATCCTTCTCTAAATTTTACCCTCGGGTGGCCAACATCCTTCTCTAAATTTTACCCCTGCCCACAAAAGGATGAGTCAAGTTGAAATGGCAACATCCTTCTCTAAATTTTACCCCTGCATGGCCCACAAAAGGGTGCGCACACAGATTTGACTCATCTGCGCACACACATTTTGTTAGCACTTGCGCCTCATCTGCGCACACAGATTTGACTCATGCGCGCACACAGTCCATCGGGGAGACTCAAGTGCGCACACAGGCCCTTTCCCGCATGTTTGCTCACTTAAAAGGGTCGTCAAGATGGAATGGCCACTTCCTCCTCTAAATTTTACCCCTCCAGTGGCTCACCAAAGGGTGAGTCAACTTGGAATGACCACTTCCTTCTCTAAATTTTACCCCTGCCCACAAAAGGGTGAGTCAAGTTGAAATGGCAACATCCTTCTCTAAATTTTACCCTCGGGTGGCTCACCAAAGGGTGAGTCAACTTGGAAGGGCAACATCCTTCTCTAAATTTTACCCCTGCATGGGTCCACAAAAGGGTGAGTCAAGTTGGCATGGCCACTTCCCTCTCTAAACTTTACCCCTGCATGGCCTACAAAAGGGTGAGTCAAGTTGGAGTGACCACTTCCTTCTCTAAATTTTACCCTGTCCACAAAAGTGCGAGTCAAGTTGAAATGGCAACATCCTTCTCTAAATTGTACCCTCGGGTGGCTCACCAAAGGGTGAGTCAACTTGGAAGAGCAACATCCTTCTCTTAATTTTACCCCTGCCAACAAAAGGGTGACCAAGTTGAAATGGGAACATCCTTCTCTTAATTTTACCCCTGCATGGCCCACAAAAGGGTGAGTCAAGTTGAATTGGCAACATCCTTCTCTAAATTTTACCCTCGGGTGGCTCACCAAAGGGTGAGTCAACTTGGAATGACCACTTCCTTCTCTAAATTTTACCCCTGCCTTGCCCACAAAAGGGTGAGTCAAGTTGAAATGGCAACATCCTTCTCTAAATTTTACCCTCGGGTGGCTCACCAAAGGGTGAGTCAACTTGGAAGAGCAACATCCTTCTCTAAATTTTACCCCTGCATGGCTCACAAAAGGGTGAGTCAAGTTGAAATGGCAACATCCTTCTCTAAATTTTACCCTCGGGTGGCTCACCAAAGGGTTCTCAAAATTCTACCCTGCCCACAAAAGGGTGAGTCAAGTTGAAATGGCAACATCCTTCTCTAAATTTTACCCTCGGGTGGCTCACCAAGGGGTGAGTCAACTTGGAATGACCACTTCCTTCTCTAAATTTGACCCCTGCCTTGCCCACAAAAGGGTGAGTCAAGTTGAAATGGCAACATCCTTCTCTAAATTTTACCCTCGGGTGGCTCACCAAAGGGTGAGTCAACTTGGAAGACCCTCTCACGATGTAAGTGCGCGAGCAACGACGAGCATACCTTTTTTTTATGCCACGCAGTGCAATATTGGGCAGAAAAAGTCTGGAGCCAAATGATTACTAGAACTCCCCGACGATTACATTCGGTAACACCCCGACGCTTACATTCGATACTAAAGGCCCCCGACAATTAAATTCTGTACTAAAACTCCCCGACGATTACATTCGGTACTAAAGCCCCCCGACAATTACGTTTTGTACTAAAACCTCCCGACAATTACTTTCTGTACTAAAACCTCCCGACAATTACTTTCTGTACTCAAACCTCCCGACAATTACTTGCTGTACTAAAACCTCTCGAAAATTACTTTCTGTACTAAAACCTCCCGACAATTACATTCTGTACTAAAGCCTTCCGACAATTACATTCTGCACTAAACCCTCCTGACAATTACATTCTGCACTAGGACCCCCCAACGTGACCTCTTCCCACAGTGCCGCATAAAAGAAAGAACCCTTAGCATAAAAAAAGAAACCATTAGCATAAAAAAAGAAACCAGGAGCATAAAAGAAAGAACTGCAAGCATAACAGAAAAAACCATTAGCATAAAAAAAGCACTATAAGCATAAAAAAAGAAACCCATACCCCAAAAGCACACCAACCCCGCTGTGAGCATAAGAAAAAAAACCATTAGCATTAAAAAAAAAAAAACACCCAGCCCATTTAATTTTGGCCTGTACAAACGGAAGGGAAAAACAAACGAAAACACAACACCGTCCGGGACCTAAACCGAACAACATTTTTCGTTGGTGAACTCTGAGGAACCACCGGGAAGCAGCCGTGGTCGCACCGTGTTTCGTGTAAGGAGCCTCATTTGTTGTGGCTCTGGAAGGCCCAGTCGAGTACTACAGTAAATTACAGTACATGTATTTACATGTAGATTCCAATGCTTTTCTTTGGTCTCTCTGGGTTTGGATGGCGCCCCTTTGTTCGAGGTAAATAGTTCGAAAGAGCATCTGTTCTCGGCACGGGCTGCAGCATCTGCCCCTTCTCAGGGAGGCACCCACAAATCAGCGCCAAAGCATTGGAGCCCCGTAGCCACGCAGCAAAGCCCAAGAGCACTGCGTACCTGGCAGTCAGTCAGGGTGCAAATGGCTGGAGTACTCATGAACCAGCGGGGGCTGGTAAAGAAACGGCATGATCTGCATTCTCCAAAGGGTCTGGCGATCACAAAATAGCAGAATCGACATGCTGGTCAACGTCACTGCTGGTGTTCAACGTCCATGGCCCAACCACGGTTGGATTTGTTGGATGTACAGTACATGTGCCTTGCTCGGTGCCTGGCCTGCATGGGCCTTTTTGGTAGCCGCATGGATGGACCAAATGTTGAGCACCCAAAAATGCCACCGAGCACGTGAGTCAAGTGGGAAGCCCAGTCACCCCAAACCCGACAGTTTAAGCTGTCACCTTTGAGAAGGATGACTTGGGTTTGTGGGACCAAGCAAATAGCGCAAAATATGTGTTTTAAAAAACTGGTGTAGAATCTAGAGTCCCCCTTCGTCACCCACCTAGGATCTAGGAGAGCAACCAAGGCTGCTTTGGACCTTATACAGGGTCCGCCATCCTTTTTGAATCCGCTTGCAAACACTTGAGTTTCTGACTCGCCACGATCACAGCATCTTCAATGCTTAGGACTTCCTGAGTTTCGAAGTGGACCTCCGCTGTTTGTCCAGCTGGTTTGGTCTGGAATTGTTGGAGCAGCTCATGTCCCAACTGTTCTCGCAAAAGCTCCAGAACCGTGGAGTTGGCGTCCGCCACCAAGCAGTGAAGCCCCTTCCGCCGCCACTCCAACAAAATGCCGCGGAGTATCTCCAAAGCAGAATAGTCAATGGTCGCCACTGCCCCCATGCAAAGAATTACAAAATTCACTTTGCCTTGGCCGGGGCCAGCTGCGGTACAACAACGACCATTGGGCTTTAGAGAACCTGACACGACAGGGCTACAAACCAGAAAAGCAAAGGGCTTCGTAGGTGAGGACTGAACAAGAAGGGCCCCGTCAATCCGGCAAAATAGCATCATTTCATCCACAATCACCCAGAATCATCCACAATCCTCTAGCCAAGGAACTCTTGGCTTGCAAACGTCTCCTCTCGACCTCCTCTTCAAACCACTCCGCGCTGGCAAACACCAAGGGGCCGCGAAACTCAAAGACCAAAATGCCTGGTAGAGTCTCAGCTTCTGCCCATCGGTCCACATCCTGAATGTGCTAAAAAGATAAAAGCGTGAAAATTGCAGATGCGCTAGCAAATCTGCTCAAAATATGTCAGGGAAGCAGGCCAACAAAAGCAGAATGATGGTGACGAAAAAGAAGCCAAAAGTCAACCTACAGTATCACTATCCAATACTGTCCATGTAAGGAATTCAAGGAGCGTAGCACATCCTAGCTGCTAGTTCTCTCCCTGCAAACACTGAACATGCAAACTCGCAATCTTATGTACATTACATATGTGAATTAAACCCGTAAAAAGGGATAATTACCTGAAACAACCGGAAAAAAAAACATAAAAAGTAAAGCTGTTTAAGCCCATCCAAGTCTTCATGCCACTGCTTCAACCGTGGCACCTCCCCCAGGGTCACTGCCTGCGGCGTGGCAGCCTCCGCCACCACCTGTGCCAGCGCCACCAAGACCGAGAGCATGATGCCATAAAGGGCACCCGCCAGGATGGTGCAAAGAAAGCCCACAAACCTGCCAGGAAGGTTTCCTTGAGGCGTCTGAAGACCGGACATTTGAAGCAGAAAGACTTCCTTGTTCTGTATAATGATTTCAGTTATATAAATGGAGCACAAACCTGTCACAGGGCGGCTTGCCGCGCCACGGTTTTCGAAATTACCCACAGGACGGCGAAAATATGGTTTTGGACGGCATATGCGTCTCTTTTCCGGGAATATATTTGTTGGTCGTGTAATTATACAACGCATCTTATCATATTATTAATTGTCGTGTGAACGGTTATGTGTCCGTCTCCCAAGTGATGTTTGCGGATTTCCCCAATTTTCATATGTGCGTCCGAATCCTTGTTCTTATTGCTCACCCAGCAACCATACAATCAGATCTTTCCGAAAGCTACTTCGAAAGGTCTTTGGGGTGCTTCCCCACAACTGCAACGGCATCTTGAAGTCCATCAGGCCCTCAGCCGAGACCATGACGATGGCAGCCAAAGATGCCTTCGGCAGGTCTTCCAATGCGGGAGCCAAACAAATCAAACCAGCTGCCACAGTAAGCGCAGTAAAAATGCTGCATATCTGCGAGTGCACCCCAAGTTGTACTGCCAGCCCTGTTCCTTTTGAGCATGACAGTGCACTTAGATTGATAAATTTTGCCTAACCAAAAGCCAACACCGCCGTTTAAACAAACATATATCTTAAAGAAACTCAGGAACGTCCAACCACCATCCGACAACTAGGTATATCACTCTCGGAACAGAGGGAACTATACCTAGATTGTCCAACTGTGCAAAGTCTTTCCGTCTTTGGGCTGGTTTTATAGGTGAAAAGGCAGAAACAGAAATGTTGCACAGTCGGAAGATCTAGGATGATCTATGCAGGGTGTAAAGCCGTTCTCTCGCTGAGGATCGGCTCAAAGAACCACTCGGCGGGAAGGCTCCAAAGAAGGAGCCCAAAATGCCAGCAGCTCCCAAGGCATAGAGCTCTTGGCGTGCATCCAGGTTGTAGTCACAGGCCAATGCCTGCTTCTTAAAACTGGAGTAGGACCTTCAAGTGATTCAAATCCGCGACATGACATGAAAGTCAGGTGTACAGCTAGGAAAAATACCTGTCACTGTCTATATATATATGTATATATTACTAAATTATATATGCATATATCATTCTGTCATATTCTGTCTATATCATTTACTTAAGACGATGGGGTCTCGCAGGGAAAAGAAGGGCGTGACAATCGGTGCAAGCAAAGGTGCAGCTGGGTAACGTCAAAAAGGTTGAGAAGGCTACAATGGCTCCACTTAGCACGAAGCCGTGCAACACATCTGCGGGTCCATTCAGCAGCTTCTCCGTCGCATTCAATTGCCAGGGCAACCGCAAAGGCGGCAGGCCCTCAGGAATATAGCCCACTGAAGGAACCAAAGTGGACCCATCCTCCTGCTTGGTCAAGCGGACGAAAAGGATCCCGAAAACAACCACCAGGATTTCCTTGATTTGGGCTACCCGGCCAGCCATCCTCCAGATCAAGGACTGTTTTTGTTCCCTCTTGGCGGTAGCCTTAAGTCGTTTGCAGCTGACGATGATGAGAATCAAGCAGGAGCATAGCCCAACATTGACCCAATTTGCCTGATGTATCTGCTGAATGCAAGCCAAAACTTTTTGAAAAGGTCCTCCTGCGTGTGGAAACTGTGTATAGCCGAAGAAACCTTTCAGCTGTGATACTATGATTAGGACTGCCCCGCCAGTGACAAAACCACTGAGAGTCGGCTGCGATAGGAAGCGAACAGCAGAGGCCAGATCAAACACGCCCATGAGAACCTGGAAGAAGCCTGATTCAAACTGGCCGGTGCCAAAAAAAAGCGCTCTGCCATGCAAACACAGGAAGGAAAACACAGGACCCCTTCGTTGGAACCGCGCCCCCCCCCCCCTCGGTTTTTCCACATCGAAACGCATCCAGCCTGACAGGAGGGCCAACAACGAAGCAAGCTCCGTACGGTCTTGTTGATCCGGAAAGGGCCTCAAAATTGCTGACAACTCACACCGTGAGTCTCTGGGTCATTGCCTTATGCGGTACATGAGAACAATGGCCAATGGCTTAAATCACAAATCCTTTAGAACGTTACTTTTTCCAGTTTCCCTACAAAGCCTAGCTTTCAAACCTCACCTGTTTCATCATGTGTCATCCTCTTGTCGCTTCGGCCAGGATTGACTGTGTTGTCAACCCTGGTTTCGTGTCGGGCCGCGAGTCGCACATGTATATATTCCTGGCCGCCCAAGGAACTGTAGGACATTCGCCAAGATCATGGCAGCCATAGCGCCCGAGGACACTGAGCCATGCTTGGAGGTGCCAAGGACGGCGTAAATGAATGGGGGAACCAGGGCGCAGTAAGGTCCTAGGCAAATTTAACGCGGTCTGCGCACATAAATCGTTTGGCTAGAGAGAGCCCCGCTGTGTTTCTAAACAAAGAGAAGTAGCCATGAGGCACTGTTCTCAGTAGAGGAACACACACAACATATCGTCTAAGCTTATCTTCAAATTGCTTTCTGAACGAAAGTCTACACCATGAAGATTCATGAAGTCCTTGAATCGGATCAGTCGTTGCAATTGTCGCATGCGCCAGCGTCTGCGCCAAACACATGGTCCCAAGAGAAACGCCCGCCGTAAGGTCCACCATCAGGTACTTGCCCTCATAGGTGGAAAGCCATGAAAGTATCGGCACTCGCGCTGCGACTCGCCCTTTCAAGGCATGCCATGTCGTGTGCAGCGGTTGGGCCTCCAACTGTTGATATGCTGCTTCAGCCATCTAGCTGCTTGAGCACATGGCTAGTGCATGATATGTATCCATGAACCCTTCATAATAGGGGAAATTGAAATAGGCAATTTTTATCAAATTTTATCAAATTTGTGACAGCGTTCGTTGAGTGTTGCAATTGATTTCCATGTTCATGTGCGCCAACCCAAATTTGACTGGTAGGTGGATGCAAAAGAGTCTCTCAAAAACATTCAAAACCGTCATCTCGAACCCATCTTGCATTTCCTCCGTTGCTTGAGGGCACATGCAGGTGCTGGATGGTAAAACTGCAACTGAGGAATGGAACATGCCACCTTAGCTGCAAGGGTGGCATGTTGAAAAAAGAACACATGCAAAACTTTTAACCTTGAGGAATCTCAAGAAAATCTCTGATCTGAAGAGGTCATCAACGACTCGTACAATAGTAGATTGTCTATGACTCCCTCCTCCATGTCGATCCTTCCTTCTTCACATCACTGACACGTGGATTTCCTGCCACTCGAATCGTAGAAAAATATCTATGCCTCACCACTAATACTTACTAGTAGTAACAAGAAGCTACTAGGAACAAGTGCCACGCTAGT